TTTTCTGACGTCACCTTCAACCATGGTGGGGCTAATGTGGTCCCTACCCCACCCTCTATCTGCAGAAGTCCCTCCTTTCCCCCACCCTTTGACCCACTGCCGCAGATCTCAGGTAGTGTCGAACCCCTATCTATAAAATGTACTTTCTGGCCTGCTTCCCCCCTCCCTTGTTTTGAATTCAGGATCCACCACTGTTTATGTCTTGTATTTGTAGCGAATCATTTTCTTTATAAACTTATTGATGGAATATCATGCATGAGTGGCCCTAAATTTCACAAAATTGAAAATTAATTGTTGGGGTGGGGGCTGTCTCTTATACACATCTAGATGTGTATAACTGGAAGGTCCTACGATAGTATCCGTACATACAACATGCTTACATGTCTTACATCTACTTCTATTACACCTAGTCATGCCTACATTATCTGCTGGATGTATTGCTTTCAATCTTGACTTAACTAACTGATCCTTCAAGCTACGATCACGTTTATAAGAAATCATAGGAGGCTCTTTAAAAATGTCTTTGGTGGCTGGGTCTGATTCCAAAATATAATGATTGTCTGTTATAATCTTAGCAATCTTCTTAGAGGTAGAATGGTAAGTTAAAACCAGAGGCGTGCGTTGCGTGGTGTCACGTACTGTTGGATTCAATGCTTCCTCATGAGCAACAGTATGCACTTTCTCCAATGATTTACTAATGATGTCAGTGGGATATCCGCGTTGATTGAAGAATTCAGCCATTTCTTGGGTTTTTGATTTAAAGTCCTCGTCATTACTACATATCCTTTTGAGTCTCAGAAATTGTGAATATGGTATGGCCTGTTTGCACGATGGTGGATGCGAAGAAACGTAGTTGAGGTAAGTATGAGCATCCGTAGATTTATAATGCACTGATGTAGTGAGCTGTAATTCCTCAATAGATAATTTAATATCTAAGAAAGCCATCGAATTCGAGGAAATTTCATATGTGAAGTCAATAGCTGGGTGAAAATTGTTAGCGAAATTAAAAATTCATGTAATTCTTCAATGCTCCCACTGGTAGCCCCTATGCAGTCATCAATATAACGTTTAAATAGTTCGGGTTTAGGTCCTTTGAATTGTGCCAAGATTTAGTGTTCGAGATGATCCATGAAGAGACATGCAAACGATGGTGCCATTTTGCTACCCATGCTAACTCCAGACATTTGGCGATAATATTTATGGTTAAAGGCAAATGCTGTAGTACATAAGACCAGTTCTGAAAGCCGAATTATAGTATCCACTGAGCATATACGAGGTTTGTTACAGTCTTTCTCCAAAAAATATCTAAGTGCGGCTAAACCATCGTTGATAGGTATAGATGTATATAAAGATTTAACGTCCATAGTAAATATATATCCTCCAGCGTTTTTAAATTCGAAGTTTTCAAACATTTTAAAATATGAGGAAGCGTTGAATCCAACAGTACGTGACACCACGCAACGCACGCCTCTGGTTTTAACTTACCATTCTACCTCTAAGAAGATTGCTAAGATTATAACAGACAATCATTATATTTTGGAATCAGACCCAGCCACCAAAGACATTTTTAAGGAGCCTCTTATGATTTCTTATAAACGTGATCGTAGCTTGAAGGACCAGTTAGTTAAGTTCCAGTAATTTTTCTATTCGAGAGAAATTTACATGTACCTCTAGTAATGTTATATATGCTATTATTTGTGTTAAATGTAATAAGGTGTATATAGGAGAAACGAAAAGGAGGCTTGGAGATAGATTCGTTAAACATTTGCGCTCTATCAACCTTAACACATCAGGTCTTCCTATAGCTGAACATTTTAATGATAATCATGATATTAATAATGATATATTAGTTACCGGTATCAAACAATGTAATTCATCTGAATTTAATCGTAGACGTTTGGAGGAGCGTATTATTTTTCAACTAGGTACTTTGAAACCTCATGGACTGAACGTCTCACTTAAATCTTTTAGAGATTAATTTGTTATTTTATTTATCTTGCTATGATGCATTCAGTGACCATTATACTATGACATTTATTTTGCCTTTGATTTGTTTTCTTTTGTTAGACCTATGTCATTACACGCC